ACAAAACATGACAAGTTACGCAACATCACCAATCATCCTTACTAATCGACGCCGAAGCGACCGACCCTTCAGTTTTATATCTCCCGTGTTCCCTTTCAAAGCCGCGGGTCACTGGAATGCGACCATTAACGCTTCAGTTGCCCTGGGGCTACTGCAGTCGACTCGGCCCTGCAGTAATTGTCGAACGAAGCAGCCGCTGAATGCTTCAGGACACCTCAGGCGTGTGCGCATAGCAATGACGCAACGCACACACTATCGCAGATGAGATGCAGAACTGAGAGTCCCGACTGGCTCCAAGCTTCATTCCTTTGTCGGAAACTGTGATGTATATACAGTGCATAGTTACTTTTACTTTCGATGAACGATTGGCGAAGTGAATCTTCCCGTGCAAAGCGTTCTATTTCGGTGACACCTGACAAGGACGTTGTCAAACGTAAATACTATACGAACGGACCGTCAGAATTAACGTCGAGTTACGGTCAGCACATGAATGCACCTTAGATTTATATCTTGTAGCTTGTAAATATTTCCACATGGCCTGGTTATTTCAATGCCTATACACTGTAGCAATCAAGTAATTCAAAGACCACGAAGCAGTCCATTTATTGAGAGCATTCGAGCTAGATGGGGCCAGCCGCAAAGACTAGTATATACTCATTCTCTGGCAGAACGGGCGAAGTAAGAGGTGCGAGAACATGAGTACATACATATAGCTTACGCGCGTCAAAGTAAAAACGCGCGTGTCAGTGACCTCTCAAGTCACTGACGTAAGCCGTTCTTCGCATAACCGACACTCACGTGTTAACAATATGCCATCCAGCCCCCTCCTTCGTCGCGGGCGTTCATGGCTAACAGTGAGCCCCGGTCGGGTGACGGGTTCCATCTGACCCTCCGCCGTCTGCCGCTAGTATATCACCGTTCTGCCGTCTCGAGAGCACCACCGGACTCCGCCGAGCGGCCTGGAGGACTGCGAGAGCACCACTCGATTCGCCCCGATCCCGAGTTGGTCCATCGAGAGGTCGACTATTGGAGTCGCAGTCCGCCCACCGGCCTCTCTACAGGCTCTCGGCTCCAGGAAGGACCGCAGGTGGTGGCCAAACCTGCGTCACAGCCGCGGTGGAACAAACGCGACGCCCACGGCTGCCAGGAAGCGGCATGAGGATATTTTTGGAGCGACTCGTGGCTGCTATTTATTAGCTTGTTGAGAACAACAGACGGGTATAGATTTTCAAGAGGCTATACAGGATAATGAGATCTCATGCAAGTTGTTAGTATACCTTACAGGCAAGTCTACAGTTAGGAGAGTCGGTTATAAGAAAGGCCTGATGCTTGGGGAGATTGGGAAGATGAGTGCTGACCACAGAGACAAAGGACCATGTGGACAGGAGCCAGCAGTCTTTGGTCTAAACTCTAAATCAACGCGTGCAGCCCACTAAGCCAGCACGTAGAAATACTGTCTGATTCAGCGGTATCGTTGCCAGCTAGCCATCTAGTCCAGTTGGTGTCTGAGCCAGCGATGTTACCCAAACCATCGTGTGCTGTCTGTTAGTGCCAGCCGCGCCAGCGCATACTGCCTGTCTGGACCAGCAAGTTTACCTGTACTGTCTGCTGTTTGTAGCTGAGCCAGCAGGTGCTGTATGTCTGATCTAGCGAGCGTTTGTGTAAGCCACCTTGTGTCCGTTTGAGCCGGCGAGTTTGACTGAGCCACCCACCGAGGGGTCTGTTTGAGTCTCCCGAGGTTTTCTAAGCCACTGCGGCTTTATCTGAGCCACCAATCGCTGTCTTCTTCCGCAAAATCTAGTAAAGTGGATAGGTAGGTGGATAGGTAAAATGGATAGATACGGGGTGAGTCAAAGGCGGTCGGACAGCTATAGAGCACTCGGCGCTTATAAGAACGCTTCGGGTAGATCATTATATCAGGCTGGAGAATAGAGGGCAAATATTCTATTGTTGTTTATTGGAGCTTTAGGACAAATATTCTATAATCACTTGAATCATTTCATCACCTCATTCAAAAGTACTGACCCCAATGATGGGTCAGACAAGGTCAAAACGCTGGAGCTGCGGGGTATCGATCCCCGTACCTCTCACATGCTAAGCGAGCGCTCTACCACTTGAGCTACAGCCCCTATCAGCACTAGGAGACTCTCACGGTCGAGAGCTCCCTGACGGTCCCAAACCAGATGACCTTCGTCACACGCGCCGCGCGGCCGCCGCACCCACAACACAGACGCTCCTTTGAAACAGAAAGTGACGCCGGACACACGTCCCTTCCCGCTGCTTCTCGCGGTTAGTGGTCAGATGTCAGAGGTCACTGGTCGGTGGTCAGTGGTCACTGGTAAGCACCGCACCCTGACCCCGCCCGTCACAAGAGTCACCCGGGCCATCGCAGACTGGGGGCATTCCGAGACTGGTCAGAACACAGTTGACCGAACGAGGTCATTGTGCAGGCCACCACTGCATTGCACTCTTTTGATGCTACACCTTTTTAGGCGCAATTTAAAAAAGTTAAAGACCAAAATCAAAAAGTTTACATTCGAAATGCACGTGAACGTTTTGAATTTGGTGTTTAACTTTTTGAAATTGCGCCTAAAATGCTGTAGTTTCATAGTAGGGGTGATGTCTATTGTCCGTTGTCATAACCAATGTGGGTTTAAGCGAATCTGGAGAGCGAAGATCAAATAAATCGATGTCGCACCAGAAATGCCAGCTCACCCAGAGGTGTCAGTTATTTCCCAATGAAATGCTGGAGTCACGTGCAGCCTGGTCCAGCCGATGTATAACATAATTTCACCATGTTTAAATAGGCAAAACTATTGCCACAGCTCGTGACCTTGAGGAGGCAGTACGATGCCAATCAACCAACCAAAGCCCGGGTGAGTCCCAGTAATCACACCACAACTGAGCGCAATGTTCCCAATACGGAGAATGTGGCGCTCACGAATCACGCCACAAGAAACCATCAAGGGAGCTCCCATGGATGGAGTATGCTGGCTGACCTCGGAGCGACCAAGATGCAGAGAGGTGCAAAAACAGCGAACCTGTCCGTGCGGTCACAACTCCGCCGGACAGCACCGGTCGCCGAAGACGGCAGATCCACTCACTCAGCCATTAGAAAACCACACGTTTGATTGAAATGCCAGATAGCGATACCGGTAGTGGAGTGGCTGTAAATAAGAACAGATCTGGGTTGACTAGATGGGGTTTCGCTTCAAAACAGGTTTTCAGAGATGTCTAAGAAAAACTAAATCAGAGACTACTTATATAGTTTCTTATTAGTTTCTTATAGTTTCCCTGGCTAACGGCGAGGATTAGCCATCGAAATATCATAGATCGTATGGGAGCCCCTGAAGCGTAACTCATTACGAGTACCTAAATCAAAATATCTTTAATCCAAGATAGATGAGCATTGATCAAATAAGCGTAACTGCGCATTACAAACGGAGTTACGGCCGATACTCAATACAAAATACGCGTGCAATGCGTATTTACACTCGTAAACAGAGGTCTATATGCAGAGGTCTCGTATTACACTCGTATACAGAGGTCTATAGACCTCATAGACAGAGGTCCGGAGTTGTACTTGAGCGTGCTGATGTAAAATAATTCGGAAAGCAACTGAGCTACTGAAAGAGACAAAATTTGATCACAAGACCTTTTGCAAAGATGAAATAAATCACACGAACGTAGCCATTGATATGGCCCAGGCTAGCCTTGGATGGGGATATGAAAAAAGTAAGTAATAAAACCCTCACCGTATTTCATTCGCATTAGTGAAACATGACATTCGTAGATAACATTTTAGAAAGACCTTTGCCAACGATTAGCAGCTAACGTTTACGTTCCCTCTAAATATGCTGAAATGACAGCGTTCGAGACATAACAAACTGGGATGAGCCAGCTATTCTTAAGCCATCCTTCACCGCACTCGCTGATACATTCGGACGCGTCGTGTCTGTCACTCGGACTCTGGTTGAAATCAAGAGTTGGAGGGAGTTTTTCACCATCATGGACCCGGTTATCACACCTTCTAAACCGATAACAGACCAGGCAATTACCCAAAGACCACAACCTTGAATGCAACTGAAGCAAACACGTTGCATCAGAGAGCTTACGAACCGAATGCTAGGTCACTCATGAACGTCTTGGTTTATTCTTGCCCAGGATAATAGAGTTCTTGCTCTCCATTACATTTACCCAGCAACTAAATAAAATAAATATAAATGCATCTTTCTTCTCGTCACCGCCTTCCACCCCAGTGACGTCAAACGCGTTCCGAGGGGGCGGCCAACAGATGGTTAGTGGGGTTATGCCTTAGCCAAAATAGGAAATACTGCTGAACCCATAAACCTAAGTAATATTGAAAAAGAAGAAAATGATTTTCTCGTGATGGTGTTACACGCGAATCGTTTGGAATAGTATCATCACGGAGAGAAGAATAAATAGAGCGAAACAAAATAAAAAGAAAATAACTACCAAATGATAATTATTGGCTGTCCACGATAAAACAAGCACTGTCAAATCTCCAATAAGCAGGTATTCCGAGCCCGGACCATCTGTGGAACGCACTACATAGTTACTACCCTGAAAATACCGTGCATATCAGCCGCTTACAATGCAGTTATAAAGCCCTCCACTACTACCTTCTACACGTTAACACGTCACCTGCAGACCAGCGGTGATTGAAACGGCGTCAATTGCATATCAACAGCCAACCGACTCCCATTCATGAGCTATCCTCGCAGCCGATACCCAGCAAGCGCTTCACCGCATGTTATGCTGTGCCATCTGTCAAGTTTGCATTCGCTCTTTTTCTCGGATCAATTCTTCAAAAGGGAAAAGGGACACCAAATAATTAAAACAGCAATAGCAGTCATGATACGGCTTTCATGCCATCTTGCCGCCCATTCGTGCAACTCCCGCCCCCCCCCCCCCCCCCCTTTCCCGACTCGCACCCCGCACGCGCGCGCCGCTCACCACTCGGCGCCGCGCTAGGAGATGGCAGCGCGGCCCGACGGCAGGCGCAGAGAGCTGACGGCCGCGGCGACGGCAGCACCATGCGGTCACAGCGGTGCGCGCGGCTCCAGCTCCTCGTGATGTGGCTGGTGACAGCGGCCAGCACCGCCGAACAGAGGAAGACCTACGACGGGTGAGTGGCAGCCGCACGTGCACATGAAGGTTTGAGTCTTTTAAATTTTAAGAGTTTTCGCGTCTTTTGAACTAATGAAATCAGTTGTTGGGCGTGTCTAAGATAATATGGTGTATGTTAATAAGTTAATGTGCATTCTCTTTCTCATGTGTACCTATGCAAATTTTGTGAACTTAACATTCAGGCCAGGAAGTAGAATAGAATTAGCATGCAATTAAAAATAACTTAACAATTGCAAGTGAAGTTTGTGAAATGGCGAATAAAATTTGCATATCCAATCATCAATGAGCTCCAACATGTTGAGTACTGGATAAGTTTCACTGTGATAACTTTTCACAAGTTTCATTGAATTTAAATATATGCAGACTCCACTAAACAGATTCCCACACTCTCAACAAACAAGGACGCATGTAATTCACCATTGCTCAATACTAATGCATTATGGATTAGATGCATCCTCTTCTCACAAAGTCGAAAGTGCCTCCAACCACTGAAAGGTCGTTAATGAGGTGTTACATCATTTTCGAGCCCTGTGTAGGACAAGGCGCAGCGATGACGACAAAGCTCGCCCATGACATGGCGTTTTGGTATCGAAAAGGCTCGTCCGCACCATCTGCGAAACGTTTCACAACCTAGCGAGTACTTGAGTTGGTCTTTGTCAATTCACAGAACGTCAAAAATGCTACCGACTCTTAGCTCATTTCTATGCTCTGTTGTCGACTTGGTAGCTTGTATTCGACTGCATACATTGGGCAATACTTTTTTGACTCCTGTCTTTACAAAACGCTCGCTCCCGATTTAGTCGCTGCATTCCAGGCTCCCTACCGATTTGGGTCCTCAGTAGTAACTTAGCTCACAACTCCACGTTATGCGGCTCGGCCACCAGCCTGCAACTGCCGACTCGGCCCCGGCAGAATCGGAGACACCCGGTTCCATATTGGTCGATCACCGGTTCATTGGTGACTCTGGAACCGGAGAATCTCCTCTCATCTCACCGGAAGACTACCGGTTTGTCCAGTCGACACATATGTACGGGCCGAACAGAGGCCGGGAGGGAAGGAGGTACTCTCACTCTTTGAATATCACATCACCGCGCCGTCATGACACGCGCCGCGGACAGGAGACAATACCAGGACCGTCACTGGGCGTTGCGCGATCTTATAGAGTGAAAACTATCAGCGATCATCGCGAATTCGAAGCCGTGACTTACTGAAACGAGTCGCCAACCGGAAACAGGGAGGACGGAAACAAAGAGTAAAAGTTAACCCTCACAGCTAGTCTTAAAGTATTCTGACACTCGTCGCGCAGGTCGATTCCGAATATGTTAGAGATGCATTGCATTCATCACGCTAGCTGGATGCTCTTATAAATAGTGATTGCCTATGCGAGTGGCATTAGTGCATTAATTGCAGGCTGGCCATTGAGAGTCCGTTGATGGCTCTCGGACCGGTCTACGCTCGCTGCAGCGAGAGTAGCGGCACATACTGAAGAAGCGACCAACGCAGGCATGGCACGCGCCGGCAGGGAGGGTCGCTTTCACTGGAGATCACTGCAGGCAGGCAGGTTTTGTGCCCTCGCCGCGGGCGGAATGCCCGGCTGACCCGCCGTGCCGATCGGCGTGACCGCTTCCGAGCATCCTTTTTCTAGAGCAGAACACTCGGCTGAGACCAAGTTTGATGTGCGTGTAAATATGACAGGATTCAGTCCTGAGCCCCGTCCGAAACGCGCCTCGACGACGGATATTTAGATTAAATTTATATAACATGAGGGTTGGTGACCTTGTCTGTGTCAAAAGTCATACCCGAGCTTAAAACACGGACGAATCGCTGATGTCAAACGCCTTACTGGACAATTCTGACTTATCAGTCGGATATAACTGGTAAATGACACGGACATTTCCTCACCAAATCCGATAAAACAGCCGTGAAACCGCCTTTCCGTCAACGATCATATCCATCTCATCATTCAAAACAGTCCCAAATTGAGTCGATCTCTAAACCATGTCCACCCACCGTTACAGCCACAACACGTGCCAGTGTGACCCGACCCGTATCAAATGTGACAATGGTATGACGAAAATGACATGTCGCCAAAGACGCCTGGCGTGACGGTCAGCTATAAGGACACGGAGCCAGATGACCGCCCGTGCCGCACAGGGCCGCCCAGATGAGAGCCAAATCTATCCCATTGATTATCAGCACTGACTGCTAATAACAGCGCGTGTCCTTAAAGGAAGCCCTGGGAGCCGCGCAGCAGCGGGAGCAGTAATGCAAATCAGGAGCGCCTGTCACCATGTCAAAAAGTTCAGGCGCATAATTAATGTTAAGAGAAATCCGTCCGGGAAAAAATAAAGCGCGTATGAAAGAATGGAACTATGGGTCATAGCAACATCTACATAAAGCCGTTTAGGAGAACTTACGAACTTAAAAAAAAATCAACTCTACACGCTTGCACATTGCACGGGCACAAGTTGAACCGCCCTCTGAGCATAAATTCAAGCTAAACAGGGCTTGTATGAACCCATAAATGCACTAACCGAGACTAACTGACAAATGCACAATGGACAGCCTTAGCCGGATGCCATACCATCCACCCCGAGCTACATCCCATCCCAGTGTCACAGACATGCACATGGACAAACACAGATGGTAGGCGTATGAGGCGACACAGTGGACAGTCGCGAGCCGCGCCTCATGGTCCGGTGATCCCCGGACACTGTCCAGCCATCAGAGAGAGTCGCCCGCAGCCGCGCCGGGCGGGCAGGGTAGGGCGCGTGGTCCACCACTATCGGCAGAGCGCGGACTGTGTCGTAACCGGACGTTATGGTCGCTGGGTCAACGACGGAGGTCACTTGCACGCAGCGCTGACTTCGAGTTAGCTTGTTCATTAAAGGGAGAGATATTGTTTTCACCGATGACTTTTATGCAAGCTAAGTCGGCATTCCTGCATGCTTGATACGCACTACTCTGATAAATTTTTATATGAATATTCTGTTGCTACGAAGCCTTCCTCGACGTACCAACACCTACTTAAGCCCGCAATTATACCACCTCACAATAGGCTACCCCACCAGGCTTTACTACTTAGTTTCTAGCAAATACGCTTAGTTATTCATCTTGCCTCACACGTTGTTACGGAGCGAGCGAAGTGAGAAGCCATGCGAAGACGGACACGGGATACCCCAGAACTAATGAAAACAGTAAAGAGCGTTCGCTGCCACTCGGGTTAATAACAATGACGCACTAACAGCCGGTGAAGTGGCATGGCTGGTGATTTTCTGGACACTCGAGAGCGGCTCAGTCGGGCATTGACACCGCGCGCAGGTGTGACAGCCGGTGGCTGCGTGGGTTAATACGATGGTTGTGTACTGTGTACAAAGTGGGCGCGTGCTGAGAGGGATACCATGGCGCGATATACGCATCGGGGAACAGGATATGTATCAATTACTCACACTGATATCAGCAAAAGAGTGTGGCTGATAGGATAGTTGCACCTGTCCAAAACTACTTGCAATTAAAAAATGACAAGCGCTAACCTTCAATAGCGTTAAGTTGCTAGTGGTAAAATACCATTAAAATCGTATTCAGCCAACATAATAAATACGTATAAATAACAAATCTTATCTCAAAACAAAGACAGAAAAACGTACTTGTGAGTGATTATTAGGCGGCTATACCCCACTCCGTCTCTCCCTCACCAGCCCTGTCTCTACGCCCTCAGACACCGCGTGTACGATGTGGCCGTGGCCAACCGGAGCCAGGCCTCGCAGATCCGGCAGCTGGTTGACGACGGTGGCTTCGAGCTGTGGGACGACAAAGGAGGCTCGTCCGGCTGGTTGCAGGTCCAGGTCGGACCCGACGACGTCCCACGACTGGAGAGCGCCCTCAACACCAGCGAGGTGCCGTTCCGACTCCGAATAGCCGACGTCCAGAGCATCATCGACTCGCAGCAGTCGGAGAATGAGGCTCACCGCGCCGGAGGCCGCGCAAAAGATCTCCTGAGAGACGGTTCAGGAAACTCCAGTAGCCGTGCCATGCGAAAACTGAACGCCTTCCCGGGTTTCGGCACCAACGCCGACAATCGAAGAGGCCGTCTGGACAGCGGAAGTGACAGAGACGGCGCTGAATTAGAAACCAACAGCATCTACGATGAAGAAGACGATGACTCTGATATCGACGGGTTCAACCTGGGCGCCTACCACCGTTTCTCCGACATCGAGGCGCTGCTGCGGCGACTGCCAACGCGGTTCCCCGACCACATCACCCTGCACGTGATCGGTCGGACCCACGAGGGACGACCTCTGTACCTAGTACGGCTGAGGGAGGACGTCAGCGCGCCGGCCACCAAGCCAGTGATGTGGATTGACTGCGGCGTGCACGCACGAGAGTGGATCTCGCCGGCCATCTGTCTGTACACCATCGGCCGTCTGCTGGCTGGCGACCAGGGCTGGCTAACCAAGTACGACTGGCACCTAGTGCCAGTGATGAATCCGGATGGCTACGAGTATTCGCACACGCATGATCGTCTCTGGCGCAAGAACCGACGTCCAGTCAACTACTGCACTGGTGTGGATCTCAACCGAAACTTCGCGGCGCGCTGGGGCACGTTCGGCGTGACGTTTCTCGAGTGCGGCCTAACGTTCCCCGGCTACCGGCCGTTCTCAGAGCTCGAGAGTCGCGCCGTGCGTGACGCCGTGCTCCGCGACCGGCGCCGTATCGCCGCCTTCAACTCGATCCACTCGTACGGCCAGCTGTGGCTGCTGCCCTACGGCTACAGCTGGTTCGCCAGCAAGGACATCGGACGTCAGCGCCGCGTGGGACGCGCCGCCACGCGCGCCATGCGTGCCGTCAACGGCGTGCCGTACCGGTACGGCATCTCGTCGCGCGTGCTGTACCTGGACAGTGGTACCAGTACCGACTGGGCGTACCGCGCCGGCGTTCGGCACAGCGTGGCCATCGAGGCGCGCGACAAGGGCTTCTACGGGTTCCTGCTGCCGCCGCGCCTCATCCTGCCGACGGCTCGCGAGGTCTGGGCCGGTCTGGCCCAGCAGGCAAGGATGCTGGCCCGCTGAGCCCCACATCATGTCACCAGTCAGCAAGTCCGGTCAGCAGTCAGCAGGATCAACCAACAGCCAGCAGAGCAGTTTGCGCTCAGCGGTGGAGCTAACGCATTCAATATCAATGCTGAGCTCACTCTGCCCTTACAAAAAGAGCGTTATCTATGTGTACACGATCGCGGTGAGACGATCTCATCGAAAACAGGTTTAGTGCGGCTCAGAAACGGGTCAACCTTCAGAGTTTGGTAGCTCAGTGAGTTCCAGCGGACTCTGTCAATTTAACCCGCCCATAATGCGCTCGACACTTGCCATCTAGTTGTAGCCGGTGTCCGTTGAGTCTCGAACGCCACGAAAGCTCACAATGGCCGTCCTCAGGGTATGGTCTGCGACCATAGCGAAGAGCGCTACGTCTCAGAAGGCGGCGCTTTGTCTCTAGTCAGCGTCGAAAAGCATGTGACCGGTGATGTCACAGGCCTGTGGTTTGTGACCGACCCGTTCGCATTCTGTTCTCAATGTGTCAATACATGTGTTATGTACGTATATTCAATACTGTATAACTCAACAAATGGTCATGCAATCTATATGACTGACCAAAAGAAAATGCTGTTTGTCAGAGGTATGTGATAACGCTACTCGAAGCTTTCGGTCGGGGACGCGGGACAGACCATTAACGCTTTACAAGCTCGATATTAAACATGAACAAAATTATAGCCGGGAACGCGGTATCTGGAGAAATAACTACCTATGAAGTTTGGATAAGACTGCGTTTCTTCATAGGCTTTGTCATAGTTCTCGTAGTTCTTAAAGAAATGACATTGCTATCATGCGACACCGCCTACTTCACCTGACAGTTGCTGAGCCAGTGTCGCGATGCGACGGAGGAGCACACGCATATATTAAGCAAAGGACGCTTACGAATTATGTCAGTGGGTGACGAGCTAACACTGGCAGATATCCGTCGGCTGGGGTATGCCGCTCCCGGAAATATTGTCCGATAAAAGGCAATCAAATGCACTGAATGGCAGAGCAAATAACAGGTTCATCGATGGAATCCGGCAGCACGCTGCTGAGCCTTCGCAAACATTGAAGAACTTCAGCAGCTATTTAGTTTTGTAGCAATAACAAACGTATCGATTATTTTTATATCATGCGAGCCCGAGGTATGAAACAGCAAATGAAGTTTTCACTGAGAAACAGTAGTAAACAATATCGGCGTATACTGTAGTCTCAGACTAGTCTTATGCTATTTACTCCCATGTAAAGGTGTTACGACTATAGCAACCCAAGGACTACGACAACACCTAGAAAACTACCACAAGGAGCAATTCCTGATGGAATAACCACGTCGTGAGTTCTCAACAAACAATAATACCAGTAAAACGCCTTTTGGGCGAAGAACGAGCGAGCGAGATAGTGAGCCCTGCAGGCTGCACGTGCGGAACGGCGAGAGGGTACTTCCAACGGGCTTGCGCAAAGCACCCTTCTAACCGGTCGCTAGCGGTGCACCAAATTTGAACGCAATCGGCCCAGCCGTTCCTGAGATCTGGAAACGGCATTCTGCACGTGCGCACATGCAAACGGGGTCCAAACTGACTTTTGCACGGCACCCTACTAACTGGTCCCCAACCGTGTACCAAATTTGAGCGCAATCGGCCCAGCCGTTCTCGAGATCTGGAAGCGCCCCCTGCACGTGCGCACGTACAGTAGCACCTTAACCGCAACACATGGGAATGCATTGCCTGGTGGGTGCCCACCTGTATGCCAAGTTTCAGCGAAATCGCCCCAGTAATTAGGGGAGAGCGGGGTCATTTGGCCGCCCGGGTCACTTTGGCCGCCCCATGCCTACGCGTTTTGACGGTCCCGAGCGATTATTTTTTAATATGGCATCATCCGCCGTCATAAGAACTACTTTGGAAAGAAACTAAGGAAACTCGGCGACGCCCAGTTTTTTGCAAAGCCAACGATATTTGAATTTTGGCTAAAAAACGTAACTTTTTCTTCTTTACGAAAAATTGCATGGTGTCCCTTATTTGGTTGACATCAAAATTTTAACTCTATTGGTAGAACAATCTGGTAATTCAGGGAGCTGTCTGACCCTTTTGCAAGTTTAAGTAACAATTTTTGTTTGTCTGCGGACCCCTTTTCCTAAAAATGTCATATTGGGGTAAATTGGCCGCCCAGCGACTCAGTTGATTTTTTGCCTAGTCTGCGAGCGACGCGCTGCGCTGGCTAAGTTCTGCCACTGAGGATGGTAATGCGGCGGAGTCTAAATGCAAGGGACAACCTAACCAAGGTGTCCGCTGATTGGCTTTCGGCACCCGGCGGCAGATGGTGAACCCGGGACGTCACATCGACCTCTACCAGGTGGCGCTGATTTTTCGTCGTGCCTAAGACGCCACCTTCACGCGGAAGAACATCCTTAAGGGATTCGAAGCAGCCGGGATATCGCCGCTCAACCGGGATATCTCCGACGACGAAGACTGCGCCGACGGCGGTCTTCGCACCGGTCGTCGCCCCAGCGACGGCAGATCAGCCCCGGCCGTGCTCCAGCCGCCAGCCTCGGCCGTGCTCCAGCCGCCAGTCTCGGCTGTGCTCCAGCCGCCAGCCCCGGGGCCGGCCGTGCTCCAGCTGCCTGCCGCGGCCGTGCTCCAGCCACCTGCTGTCGCCGTGTCTTAGTTGCTTGTCGGAAGCCCAGAGTCCATCCGACCACTTCCGCAGCTGCGCATCAACGTTCAAAAAGCCGGTCGGAGGAAAGGGCGTTCTAAAATCATGACTAACAGCCCGGAGCGGACGACTTTGGAGGGCGAGCAACAGGCACGTATGGCGAGGAGCAAAAAGCGGGGTCCACAAGCTGGACCGTCGAACCATTGAACGTCGGGAGCTGGACGTCGAACCATCGAACGTCGGGAGCTGGACCGTCGAAGAAACAGGGGCGCAAAGGTGAAAAACAGTGAAGCGCAGTGATGACTGGACATCCATGCCGTTGAGACCGTATTTTACAGTGGATGTGTTTAAGTGTTGGGTCGAAGACGGGGCCTGCTGGAATCGTTTTTATTTCATGCTTACGACAGAGTTTGAAATAAACAAATAACTCGTACACAAAAGACTTACAATCTTGGGCGTCAATATTTCAGGTTGTCTCAGCTCTGTAATGGGTATATCTCTGAATCACATGCCCGGCCAAATGACCCCACTCCCCCGGCCAAATGACCCCGGTACCGGGGTCATTTGGCCGCCGTGCAGTCTTTGAAAGAACGGTTAAATACTACCGAAACGAGATGTCCCGGCATGATGCAAGTAATATGCCGGAACAACAATTGAACGCCCCACACCCCTCCATGGAGAAATCGACCAAACGCGCACTGGTTTTCTCAAAATATCGTTTTTACAAAAGGGCGGCCAAATCACCCCGTTCTCCCCTACCGAGTTATTAAAATGGGAACAAATTTGACATCTCTTATTGTTGTATTTTGCACGTGCACTGGGGTGACCCACATGCATCGAGAGTATCCTATTTTTGGTAGAAGGGATGCTACTACCCTACAAAAATTACCGCAAGTCAATCGCCCAAGCGGCTGCTGAGATATGAGCCTCTCAAAATCACTATTTTTGCAAAACAGCTTGAACACGCTTGACTTTTCACGTGGCACGTGCCACGACGGTCACTGAGTTGTATCAAAAGTAATCAATTACGGGGTAGAAGGGATGGGGCTACCCAGCAAAAAAGACCGCAGGCCAATCGGTCCAGCGGTTGCTGAGATATAAGCCTCTCAAAAGCGTTACAGGCCGGGCCGGGCCGGGCCGCTCATACTGAGATTTTTCCGTTATATTGAAAAGACTCGCTTCGCTCGCTGCGCTCGCTCGCTCGTAATGACCAATGACCACTCTAATATCCGTAAAGGGGAATTCCAAACTTTTGCGTTACCGGTAGTGCACTTAACCATTATGGTACTAAATGTGCGCCTGTGGTAATATCATCCAGGTTCTCCACTTTGGGAAATGGTGCGTAATGGGCACGCAGCTCCAGTAAAGATAAAACATGCGTAGAACAAGTGTGAAATCACAACAGATGAGGGAGATAGAGAACAGCAGACCTGGCTGGTGGATTCTGGGAACCGAGAAGCCAACGAAATACCACAAGCTGGTAGCGAAACAAAACTGTACCAACGTATCTCACAAAAATAAGAAGCGGGACGGCGGATTGATCCCTACCGCAGTCTGATGCGGCAGAATCAGACTACGGTACTTATTAGCGTATGTTGGACTGACCAGTATCGTGGCCTGATGAGGCAACAACTGTATTCTGTGTGTTCCCCGTTGAACTGACGTGCATGACGGTAGTCTGATACGGCAGTAGCTATGTTCTGTGTATCTCGTAGTATATCCCCACTGAACCCACTTGCACGGTGGTCTGATGCGGCAGTAGCTATGTTCTGTGTATGGTATATCCCCGTTGAACCTACCTGCACGGTGGTCTGATGAGGCAGCAGCTCGGTGCTGGTCAGCAGCAGTCGCAGCCGGTCCTCCAGCCGGCGCGCCGACTGGTTCAAACGGTCCGGCTTGGTCTCCCATTGGTCCTCGGTCCAATCGTACTGGACCCGTTTGCTGTCCTGACGCCATAGGATCAGCACGTGGCCCACCGGGTCCTCCGGAGACGACTCTGGGGTCACAGGCCACCCGGTACAGGTCAACTGAGGTCACAGATCATTAGGGGTTACAGGTCAGAAGAGGTCACAGCACAGGTTAACAGAGGCTACAGGTCAGCAGAGATTACAAAACTGGGCGTGACGGTGATTCCAGCAAACAAATTATCTAACAATTGCCGGACGGGTACGGTTCTCCAGTAAAAGTCTTGTTGGTTTTGCTTTTTCGGACATATCTGGTCCTATATAATGTTCAAATGCATAAGTATCAACCCGAATTATGTGTATGCACATTTACCACGAGACTGTGAAATTGCATCGTTGTATGCCAAATACTTTCCGAGATATTCAACAAAAACCTCATTTTCTGCCGTTTGGGGTATTCTGGCCGCAATCTTCCTGGGGTCGCCTATGACATCAGTAGAGCCATCTAACGAGACGAACGCGGAAACACAGAATCATGAATGAATCGAGTGCGTAGTAAACGGTGTATGAAAGGGAGACTCGGCAGCGGCTATCCGGGTGGCCGGCGCGCGGCGCGCCCCCAGGCATCGGCCGACCCTTCGGACCGCGTGGGGTCAGAGGTCGCGCTCGGGAAGTCTCTGCTCTGGGTTTTAGCGCTGTGCAGTCAGGAAGGGAGCATAGGATAGCGCTAGCCCGACTGACTAGTATCTCGGCTGATTCGTATGGGGTGAAGGGAGCACAGAACGGGATGGTGGCAAGTGGTGGATGATGGGATGGTGGTTATGTTAGTGCGTACTGCGTAGAACGTAGCTGAATATGCATTTTTTTCATCGCAAACAATATGCAGCATAATGTGCGGGATTATGCCACAACTCATACAAAAAGGAAGTAACATTTCGACCGAGGGAGTGGATGAGTGCCGTGAAAAAGCATGACGATGCTGCCAAAATCGGGATGCTTTTTTGTCCCCATTTCTTTACCCCTAACATGCAGC